TGTGTGTGTGTGTGTGTGTGTGTGTGTGTGTGGTGGCTGCTCCTGGAGTCTGGGCTCTGACAGCTCAGGGGAAAGGAGGGCACTCAGCCAGAGGACGAGCAGGAGGTTGTCCGTTCCCAGAGTTGTCCCGCCTTCCCCATCGTACCTCCAGGGCTCCTTTGGGGCAGGCTACTCAATTTCAGATCACTTCTGCTCTCTTAGGGATAATAATAATAATCCACTGCCATCAAGTTAATTTTGACCCCTAGCAACACCATGTAGGGTTTCTGGTGCTGTGAGTCTTGACAGGAGCCCAGGGAACCCCATCGTTCCCCCCACAGAGTGGCTAGTAGGTTTGAACAGCCAACCTTGAGGTGGCCAGTCCATGCTTCCCTGATAGCACCACTGTGACGCCTTAGGAATAATAACAACTGGAGCATGTAATATTCATCCTCTATTAACAGGAGCTATTGTTAACATTTAAAAAAAAGAATTTACTTTTTTAATTCTGGAAATCAAGTAGAATCATTCAAAACGCCCTCCTACCACAGGACACCATGGTTTGAGACCTGCCCGTGTGCACACGTGCAGGACCACATTCAGACACGACCACCTCTACATCGATGGCACCTGGAGGGCATACCGTGGACATCTGCTTAGGTTTGCAAATATCCCTCACAAGGGAAAATAGGACTTGTGGTACATAGTAGTTTAAAGACCCTTTATTATGCTAACGTAGGAGGGCACCATCATTGATAGATACAGCCCTCAATTTGGGGACATTTAGATGATTTCAAATTATTCTTTACAGTAAACAAGGCTGCTCTGAGCATCCTTAGCTCCTGCTTAATCATTTCTTTGGGAGAGGTGCCACGAAACAGAATCACCATGTTGGCACCTTCTTACCAAACAGGCTTCTGGAAAATGTGTACCAATTTACATTCCCGCCCCTGTGGATGAGACCGGGCCATTCCCGGAAGTCTCCCAAATGCTAGCATTTGCGTTTCTTTGCCCATGTCTACCATGTTCCCAGATGACGCTGAGACTGCTGCACCAGGGACCCCTGGTGGGACTGGCTCTCACCTTTGGTTGCACATCAGAATGACCCGGAGAAAGGCACCCTGCTGGTAATGTAGGGGGCAGTGAGAAGGGGCAGTCCCTCCACCAGATGCATGGGCACAGCGGCTGCAACAATGGCTCACGCCTAAGAACAACGGCGAGGCTGGCACAAGGCCGGGTGGCGTTTCGTTCTGTGGTATACAGGGTCGCTAGAGACAGAACCGACTCGATGGTACCCGGCACCCGCAATGGATCAGCCACGACCCAGGCACCCGTTAATCAGTCGGAGCAGTAGGCTCAAGTACAACAACTGTGAGGACGGCCCAGGACCGGGCAGTGCTTGGTTCTGAGCGCCCGGGGCTGCCTGTGTTCAAGCCCACTCAACAGCCCTTAAGGACAGCAACACGGATCGTCTTAGAAGCATCTACAGTCTTGATGCCCCGGTCATATTGTCCACCAATTCACACCAGGGGCAGGCTCCAGGTCACCCTGGACTGGGGACTGTTCGGGGTAAAAGGATTGACTTCTGGAGTCCACAGCTTACAATAGCAAGCCCCAGGGGCCAACTGTTTTCTGATCGTCTTGGCATCCGTGTGCCTCCCTGGCCAGATGTTAAGCTTCTTGAGGACATCGACCACGCTTTCTTTCCTCTTTGGTGGCCTCTCACGGTCCCTGCCCAATACGGGGGCGGGGTATGTGTGTGTGGAGGGATGGGGTCTCACTGCCATCAAGTCTATGCCAGCTCATCGTGACCCTAGAGGACAGGGCAGAACTACCCCCATGGGTTCCCGAGACTGTAACTCTTTTCAGGAGTCGAAAGGTCTTTCTCTTGGGGAGCAGCTGGTGGTTTTGAACCACTAACCTTGCAGTCAGCAGGCCAACATGTAACCAACCACTCCTCCACCGGGGCTCCCAGAGGGGCCCTCATGAACTAACTGCCTGCTTCCTCTGCTGGAGGGAGAGACGTGACTGATCCCTCTGGGGGATGTCTGACTGTGAGAAAAGGACCATTGGAAAAAAGCTCTCAGATAACTCTTTGGTTGAACTCCGTGCAAGAATATTCAGGATGACCTGGCCATGGTCACTAGAGACCGTCAACATCACAGACACCGCCCCCCCATCCCCCCAGCCGGGACCGCTCTACGCTCTAGCTCTGGACAGGAAGCCCCTACCTCCACCTGTGAACCAGGCTCGTACACAGAGAGCAGAGGGGCATGCTATTTACCACGGCAGGGAGACAGTCGGCAAACCCAGAAGGTGAAAAGGGACATGCAGGGCAGGCGGTGCTGTTTTGTCAATGATGGCAACAGCAAGGGAGACCCAAAGGAGGAGAAGCTGCAGATGAACCATGACCTAGATCTGAGGGGCCCGCCCCAATCCCAACTACGTGGACACCTGTCCCTCCCCCCAGAAGAATGTATTTCAGAGGACGGCACTGAATCTGCAGCTCTGGGAGAGGGACATATCTGATCGGAGCACACGGGAGCAGATGAAGGGGGAGGAGGAGAGAGTGGAGCACATCCTGGCCCAC